ACACACACACACACACACACACACACACACACACACACACACACACACACACACACACAATTCCTGTCTTTTTCCTTTCTTACTGGGTTCAGAGACCTACTTCAGCTGTCGATCCCTCACCAAACGCCCGTTGGAATGTATGTGGCACAGAAGAAAACAAGCGCGAGCTTACGTGAAAAGAGCAGAGAAAAAGTCTGGTGACGTGTGCATGTGAAAAGTTGATGTGACGTGTTTGTTTGAAAAATTCAGGTGACGTGTGCATGTGTCTATCGATCGAATTGCGGGGGTGTTTTGTGGGAAAAAAAACAAAATCAGGTCATGTCTGCGTGCGAAACAGATCTGGTGACCTGTGCATGTGAAATCATTCAGTTGACGTGTGCATGTGAAATTATTCAGTTGACGTGTGCATGTGAAATTATTCAGTTGACGTGTGCATGCGAAATTATTCAGTTGACGTGTGCATGCGAAATTATTCAGTTGATGTGTGCATGTGAATTATTCAGTTGACGTGTGCATGTGAATTATTCAGTTGACGTGTGCTTGCCAAAATTCTTCTCTCTTCCAGGTAACGCTGCAGAAAAGGTAGTTTTGGACGGACTCTGACTATCATAGTGGCAACGCACATCCTGAGAAGTGATCCTTTTCGCGGTTCTCGCACCTTCACATGGGATCCTAATGAAGGCCTCGCTCCACCACACGCACCACATGCACAAAGGACATAAATTATGGCGGTGTACCTATCCATGTTCTCGAGGAAGATTCATTCCCATTTTGCACATTTGGTGCGTGGTGGAGCGAGGGCCCAAGTCCCCTGGTGTCGTGTTCCTGCCTGTCCCTATCAGATTCTGATGATCATCAGGTCACTGAAATGCTCTCTACGACAATAGAAATAAAAGGAAAAATAATGCTCTGTACGCAAGTGTACATGCCTTTGGACGATTTTCTGGACCCGATACATTCGGACTGTTGGGATCGTCCGACTGCATGATTCTCATTTTGCACATTTGGTGCGTGGCGGAGCGAGGCCCCAAGTCCCCTGGTGTCGTGTTCCTGCCCGTCCCTATCAGATTCTGATGACCGTCAGGTCACTGAAATGCTCTCTACAACAATGGAAATAAAAGGAAAAATCATGCTCAGTACGCAACACTGTACATGCATTTGGCCGAGTTTCTGGACCTGATACATTCTGACTTTTGGGATCATCCGAATGCACCTGGTCCACAGAGCGTCCAAATGCAGACAGAGTGTTGTCCAGTTGAGCGAGGCCCTTACACTGGCCGTCGGGGCATGTCCTGGCCGTTTTTTTTTTTTTTTTTTAATTTTTTATTATTATTAAATTTGGACCATTTCTCGATTTATGCGTGTCATCCTTGCGCAGGGGCCATGCTAATCTTCTCTGTATCGTTCCAATTTTAACGGATGTCCCAAAGGACTGTCCTGGCCGTTTAGATGTGCAGTGCCCTTATACTGACCATCGTGGCATGTTCCTGGACGCGTCCTTTGACCCGATACATTCCGACTGTTGGGCTCATCCGAATGCACCTGGTCCACAGAGCGTCCAAATGCAGACAGAGTGTTCTGCAGCGGAGCGAGGCCCTTACACTGACCATCGTGGCATATTCCTGCCCGTTCAGATGTTCTCCGACTGCCAGGATCGTGAGGCTGTCCATCACTGTGCTGTTGTGATGGACTTTTTTTTGTGTTTTTTGTATCATCAGTGAGCTGACCGGCCCCAGGTAATTCAGAACTATTTCATTCTGTTGATCTCACCGCAGCTCGATTCGAACCTGGTCTGTTAGCCCAGCTAGACTTGGCCCAGCTATAGGCCCTCTGTTACTTCTCTACTTTCGCAGTTCAAACATTCAATTAGATTAGACATTATGGCAGAATGGATTAAATTCAAACGTCAAGCTACTTCGATCGACTTAGCCAGAGAACAGTTTCAAAAGAAATGGTCCACCCCATTTCGGTGGGCCGGTTTCACAGATAGGAATACTCTCTTCTACTCGGAACTTCTGTGGGATTACCCCCCCAGGCCTAGCTTGCTAGCTTCCTATCAGGCAGTTTCTCACTGAGAGGGCCAGGTATCCCCTCCACTTCTGGTTATGCTACCTAAGTATCGCTCTCCCCTCAAAATGGTTCTGGTATCTGTATTTCCGGGCAGATTGTGAGGACCCCGGCCTCTTGTTTTCGGTTCTCAGGGATGTTGGGCCCGTTTCCCAACATGTGCAGCTCCCCACCAATAGATCGGAGCAACTTGGCTTAAGGGATGCACCTCAGGAGCACGGTTCCACTAGCAAACGAGTCATGGACTATTATGACCTGTGCGACAGGTTGAGAAAAGAGAAATAAATAAATTTAAAAGACATTAAAAAAATTAGAATTGGTGAGGAGGTTGACATTTGAAAGTACTGCAAAAGGCGGCCGTCTTCTTGAACATCAGAATAGACAGCTGCCGCTGTGAGTCATCTCTGTGCCCCAATGTACTGGTGGCTTACACCATCAGTCCATCTGAGTCTCATTTTTTTCTGGCTTTCTGCTGCACCCCAAAACAAAAAAGACTGGCGTGGGTGCGAAAGTGTGTCCTTTTGCGTGGTGCTGCCAACCTTTTTGGTCCCATAGGCCTGATCCACGATTTTGTGGCCCGTAACTGGGGGGCGTGAGAGCAAAATGGCGGGGAAACGGACTGGTGGTCTGAACCACCAGTACTTACTGAGTCTCTTTTCTGGGAGGCGGACTTGTGTTGAGCCCCTAAAAAAACATGGACGGCGGTCGTGCAAATTTTTCTCTGTTTGGCTGGTGCTGCCAGCCAGAGAGATCTCGTAGGCCTTCTGCATTTGGAACATTTGCCTGTCAAAAGTATGGGTGGTTTAAACCACCGTAACACCTGGGGCTGGAGGCAGTGAGCTGCATGCCAAGCTTTCCAAACCGCCAGTGGCACACCTTTTTTCTTTTCTGGCTGGCGCCCCCAGCCATTGTGGTCCGGTAGGCCTGAGCCAAGAATTTTGAAGTTGGTGAAGAACGAATTTGTGCAAGGCTGGGCGTACCTTTTTGCTTTTTTGGCTGGTAACCCCCGCCATTGAGACGAACAAATTTCTGCACGGCTGGGGCTGTGTACTGAGCCTCGTTTCCCCTCACCACAGAGAGGGTGGTCCTTTAAACCACGAACACTTTTGACCCTTGCCTTGCCGTGCCCAGAAATGCCCTGTGTGTAAAAGAAAAAGGAAGTGTCACTGACCCTCTTTTGGCTGGTGCCACCAGCCATTTTGCTCTGGTAGGCGAATTCCTGAAACCCCTGAAACTTGTGGTGGCATGCACGCAGATGGGAGAAAAATGGATGACAAAATTGTGGCCGCATGCACACCGCATGGGAGAAAAATGGGTGGCAAATGTACTGGTGATTTAATGGATGCAGCTCAGGGGCCAGGCCCTCATGTACTGGAGGTTTAATCTTTCGCCAGTGCATTGTGCGGGGCAATAAAAGGGCGAAAGAAACCAGCGCACATGAGCCAGCAAACAAAGATGCGGCACAGGGCCAAAGAAGCGTGGGTGCCCAGCACAAGGGGAAGAAACAAATATGCAATATAGGGCCAAAGAAACTGTGCCGCATATGGACATAAAAAAACTGGAGGACCCAGCCCTTGTGGCTGAATGGTACAGCAGTGCAACTGTTGGCTCGCCCGCAATTCACCATGGTGAAACCCAGAGAGAAAAAAAACAACAACATTGTGAAAGAACGGTGTGAAATTTGCAGAGGGAAAAAAGAATAGTGTGAAACTTGGAGAGTGAAAACAAAAAAAAACTTAAAAAAAGTAGTTTTCTTGGCAAATTGGTTGCACTGTTACACCAGCTCGGCACCGCAGACGGTTGGTTTCTAACAATAGTCCAAAAAGTAGTCTGCGTCGGTGTCAGCTTACGAAAAACTGAAATCCTTGCCAAGAAGTCTGTTTGTGGAGGGGTTGGAAGGATGTCTCTCCAAAAAGGGTCCTCCACTAAACGGCTGTGACAGGCAGGTCACGTTGCAAAAGGCCATGGGGGATGGGAGACCAAGTTTGGCATAAATTCTGACACTTCTTTTTCTGACAACTTCTCTGAAGGTCAAGCTTGGCCCGTACGAACCAGTACATGACCGTAGGTTTAACCATGAACCTAGGGCCTCGCCACACCACTCTGGAAATGTGAAAAAGACAAAACTGTGGTGGGTGCACCTGGCCATGTTCTAGCAGGTAGTTCTTTCTCATTTTGCACATTTCGAGAGT